ACAACTGAAAAAATAAGTATTAAGTATGTTTGAGCAAGGATACTTTTACAAAACTGCACTGCCTGAAAATAATAAATTATTGAAAGGTGAATAAAAAGGTGGCACCTAGAGTTTTCACAGTTGCCAGTTGCACCTGCAATCTCTCTCTTTCTCTCTCTCTCAATCCACATACACACACACAAACACATATCTATACACATATATACACACAAATATAATATATATGAATTTCTGCTTATTTTGTATTCAGGTATATATGTGATTTCTCAAATTGATATTTGAATGCAAGTAATATTTTGGTACATAATAAATTCAAATTGGTCTAACAGCAACTAAAAATAAAATCAACTTACAGACTTTACCTGAATAAAAACATTAATATACCAATTTTACATTTAGTGTTAGGCAATGTTTAATGCATTGATGTGTCCTGTTAAATACTGACTCTTCTTTATATCCATTAAGTAAAAGTTGTATAAGAAAGAATCTGTCTGCTTATGAAATTAAATAATATTTTAAATATCTGGAGTCATATAAAAAACCTGAAGACTGATTTAGCTCAGATACTGTATGTCATGTTCAGTGGCATGATGTGCTTTCATCATATTTTTGGTATTTTATAAATTTTGGTAAAGTAATACCCATCAATATCTCTGTGGACTACAGAGCTGACACTAACTAAACTTTTGTTCACATTATCAGGATTCATATTGTCAGGATATTTGTGTACAAAGATTGGTGAAGTTATTTCCATGTCCTTGCAATAGTGAATTGTGCTGCCATAAACATTTGGGTGCAGATGTCTTTATAATAGAATGTCTTATGCTCTTTTGTGTAAATGCCTAATAATGCTATTTCTGGGTCGAGTGGTATTTCTATTTTTAGCTGTTTGAGGTATCTCCAAATTCTTTTCCACAAAGGTTGAACTAATTTGCATTCCTACCAGCAGTGTAAGAGTGTTCCTGTCTCTCCACATCCTTGCCAGCATTTGTTGTTTTGGAGTTTCTTGATGCAGGCCATTCTCACTGGGGTCAGGTGGTATCTCATTGTGGTTTTGATTTGCATTTCTCTGATGATTAGAGATAGTGCCCGTCAATTCATGAATGGATAATTAAAATTTGGTATATGCTCACAATGGAATATTACTCAATTCTAAGAAATGACAACAAGTTAGCACCACTTATACTATTGTGGATTAAGCTTAAGCCCATTATCCAAAGTGAGGCAATCAGGAAAATGGGCTCCACATGTACTAGCCATCAAAATGGTACTGACTGATTAAAACTATGGTGCTCAAATGGAGGTAGTATTCACTAGGGTTTTGGGGGTGGGAGGGTAGACTCACATCATAGGAATGTGGTAAGCATTGTGGAGGGGAAGGGCGTATCTCTAACCCTTCCTAGGGAGAGGCAAAGATATAAAATGTAACCAAATTGTCAAAAAAAAAACACATTTATTGGGTGTCGGGGAGGTAGGAGGGGGGAGGAGGGGATGGGTGTATACTTACATAATAAGTGTGATGCACACCAACTAGGGGATGGACACACTTGAAGCTCTGACTCGAGGGCAGAGGGGAGGCAAGGGCAGTAGATGTAACCTTAACAACATTTGTACCTCCATAATATGATGAAAAATAAATAAATAAATAAAACTCTCCCTCTAACAACAACAACAACAAAAAGATTGGTGAAGTTAGCATTGAATCTTCTCAACTTGACCAACCTTCATTAAGAATTCTTTGCATTAAATTGTTAGTTGATATTAGATTACATAGATTATGCCTGTCATGTTTATTTTTTACATATAAATCATCTACTTCATAATTTTGTTTTATATAAAATCGTCCACACAATGTCCATGTAATAAGCATTTGTTTAAGACATAGCGTTGGAAAGAGTTATGAAGTCCTCACGAAGCATCTAGGATATTGGGGGAGATAAGTATATGCAAAAAGACATGCAGCCTTAGTTTATTTGCTTCATGTTCCTTATTGGGGACTTCACTGGGCACTGACCTCATGCTGAGCTCTCTAACCACCCTCACTCATAGGTGAGAGCAAGATAGAGACAGACACATACAAATCAGTATACACATTATAACACATGCAGCATTGCAATGGTAAACTGTACCGATGTGAGCTGAATATTGAAGAATGATTAAGATTCGCAGAGTGAACAGGGAGTAAAAGGTATTTCAGACAGGGGTCTCTGCATACAAAGGGAGGAAGACCTTCCATTCTTTAGAAATCTGAGAAGTAGGGGAACAAGGGAAACCCTCACTAAGTAGGCCTGAATTAGTTTCCTTCTATAAAGGCATTTCATGCTGACAGCATGTGGAAAGCACGTTTTTTCTTTAGGAAGATTTCTTATTAGCAGTGAAAAGGAAGGCAGTAATGACATACAAGAGACATTCTAGGGATGGAAGAGACTACGTTGTGATTAATTGGACATGAGAGAGAGTAGTAGAGGAAGATGCGTGGATATCTAGTGTGGACATTAGAAGGTGTAAAAGCTTTCAGCTGAAATAAAGGATTGGATGAATTGGTGCAAGTATGGGGTAGCAAAATCATAATTTCCTTTTTATTACATCTAACTGAGATTATGACAGGATATCTAGATGGAGATGTTATCCCGTTATGTTGTAGTTTTTTATCATGAGTGTCTTACCTATGTACCCTAAGCTTGGTGAGGAAGGAGCTCTTATCTTCTTAAGATGTAAAAGCTCAAAACTATTGTAAGATGAATAAATCAGGAGAAATGAGTAAATGAATGAACAAATAGTTGGAACACAAGTAAATAACTATGTGAAGTAGACAAAAGCTTAAGAAATATGTAAGGAATTTAGCAGAGATATCTTTTACCATAGGAATCTAATATTTATCCCTTAAAACTCTATCTTTTGGAAGATGCACATACTGAAAAAAACCTTTATTGGCTTCAACACATGCATGACTTAAAATGGAAATTAATGTTCATAAATTTAATTTTTAATGAATGTCTTTATCTCTTAATTTTATACATATTAAAGTAATTTTAGGGAATATATTCTCATTGCAAATATATTTTATTCTGAAAATAGCTAATTCTATTTTGTTGAATTCTATCCAACTATTCATTTCAAACCTTTTTCTCTTCCCAGATAGATCACTTACTTAAATATTCTCCTTAGCCAAATGTAAGTGTAACCACATCCCACATTAAATAAATATATTCATATTTCAAAATTATTTATTATTTTCTAGTATTTTCAGTGAGATAAGTAAGGATAAGTGCATACCTTAGGAATATACTATATTTTTTGAGAGTATAATTAATGAAATACCCATATATGAAAGCAGTTTAAGTCGTCATAGGCACATCATTAATGCTTAATATTTGTTAGCTAAATCTGTATCTAGATCTTAAGATATGCAATAAAAATAAACATTTTAATTTAAAAAATACAGTGTCCCTATCCATCTATTCAAAGAGTATTCATCAAATATCTCTGATATGCCAGGAATTGTGCAAAGTACTGAGAGTATCTAGATCCCCTGCCCTTCAGTGGTTTATAGTCTAGTGAAATATCTCTCAAATTCAGTGTGTTTAGGAATCCTCAGTTAAAATTAAGAGGACTCTAGCCTCCTCAGAGAGTTTGGGTACATAAGGATGGGTAGTCTCCTAGGAGTTAGCAAAAGATGTCTTATTTGATAGGGGAACTTAATAAAGGGGAAGGGTGATTTTCTGAAGTAACTCTATAGTGCTTTTAAACTAGGATGGAATTTGTTAAATTTAATAACTATAATGTCTACATTACTGGGACAGAATTTAAAAAGCAGAAAATTTTAATGTTTATTGGAAAAGTGTCATTTTTCTTAATGAAAGACATTATTTCTTTGTATGATGAAGTTATTCCTGTGTTCATAAAACTACATTAGCTGATTTTCCCATGTAACATGTAAACTAATTAATTTTCACAAAATAAATGTCTTTGAACAATCATCTCTGTATTTATTTCTTTTTCATTTAAAAAGTATGGAAATTGTTAAGGACTTGGTGAAATACACCTAAAATTGATTCTTTTTTCATTTAAATTTTCTGAATCATGTAGCACCATAAAGATTCTACCTTAGCTTTGTAATTAAATTAAAGGGGCTAATAAACAGTAAAGTAACTTTGTAATTCACCAAAGAAAAACTATTCAAAATCATGAAAATCTTTCTCCTTAGACAAGACTCAAAAATAGACAGAAAACATGACAATGGTTAAATAAGATTCTCTAGAAGAGAAGTTACACTACCATCTCTGTAGAAGCATTAAAATTAATAAGCTGGAAATAGCATTTTTCTAATATAAAAATGTTAAGCCTTAGTCTTGTGATGCTGAAACTCATATTCATAAAAAAATATATTTTATTCATAAAATGTTTTAAGCATTTAATTTTATTATTTAATATCCAAAGCAAATGGATGATACTTGGAAACTATAATAATGATCAAATGTAAAGCATAAAAAGTGGAGAAATGCAAATGTTATTTAAACAAACAATGCACTGCTATGTAAGCTAGAAGACAGTAGCATATACCTTCTTGACTCCTGAATTTAAAGCTGTGTAATAGATAAAATAATTGTTGAATGTTAGGAAGGCACCTTAGTCTTATTTTATGAGTAACACTAGGGATCAATGACTAGCCTAAGGTTACATAGCTTGCATTCTACATTGTTAAAAGTAGATTCTAATTAGAAGCTTAAAGTACCACAGTCTTCATTTAGCTCAAAATGAATCAGAGAGAGGAAAGGTATCTAAAGAGTCTGACTAGTAAACTAATGATTTTTGATCATTAAGAAAAAAATATGCTATCTACTTAGATTCAAATCTCAAGAAAATTGGTAGTTTTCCCTTCACTTTATAGTTTGTTGTTTTCGCCATGGCTGTCTCAGATTAACCTCTTCATTGATTTCCTTTTGAATTTAATGATTCATGTTGTTGATAAATAATTGAAATATACTGCTATTTTGCAGCTGGATGAAGAAGCCTCGATGTGGTGTACCTGACCAGACAAGAGGTAGATCCAAGTTTCATATTCGTCGAAAGCGATATGCATTAACAGGACAGAAGTGGCAGCACAAACATATCACTTACAGGTATAAAAACTAATGCAGTGTTTCCCTCCTTTTCCCCCATTTTTCACTAGTATTTGTTTTGAATTTTGTTTGGTATCTTCTGCACATTGACTACACATTAACCACATATAGTGATGTAATGTTGACATAAGAGATTAAAACTTGCAATTGAGAAGAGAATAAATTATCCATTTAGTACCTTGTATACATTTTTTGAAACATTTGGTCTCTTTGTAAACAATGTCTTCCAGCTTCTTGAATGAATGCCACTACGTGAGGGGCTTTGAGATGAGTGTTCTAACACATTACATTTTTTGAGAAATATTCAAAATCTAAAAAATAATGGAATAAACTATATAAATAATTACCATTTAAATAAAAGTTATCTGAATCTGCTAATTAGCTTTTAGTATCAATATAACCATTTTACTTTTTATCTTTTCGGTAATTATACAAGAGGATCACTTTTTTTTTTTTTTTTTTTTGGCTTTCAATGACACGAAGTATCTTCCAACCTAGTGCAACAATTGCTGCTAATGGAGATGTTCATATTTATTAATTTATTGATTAAACAACTGCTTATTGAGTCCCAGTATTAAGAAAGAAGAGTGCTAGGCTATGGGGATATGGCAATAAATAAAGCATGGGGACCCTGTTTGTCCTCATGGAATTTACAGTCATGAGAAGTTGAACAGTCTTATAAATGTGATACTTGTTATGAAAAGGAAGGAACAGGATACAAGATAAATGTAAACTGGGATCATCAAATTCATTCTAGAAAAACAGGGGAGTTATCCCTAAAGAAATGGTTTTTCAGTTAGGACCTACAGGAAGAGAAAGATTTTGTTAAACCAATGGGCAGAAGACAAAAGGTACTTCAGGGAGAGGGTGGGATGTCAGGAACCATCTCTATTAAATTACATGAATAAAAGAGAGAGTTTTATAATTCTTATTCTTTGTGTAAGTAACTTCATGTATGGTTAAAGATAAAATTAAAACCTCAATATATTGATTTTTTTATCTATTTAACTAGAATATGCCATTTGAACTTATTTTGGCTATTTTGAAAACACTTTTTAGTGTTATTTTACATTCTTATGCTATCCTCTTAGATAGCATGCTCTGTATACTGCTTACTTCAATTATTTCTACAGATGAGGGAAATCAAAGATAAAGCACCTTTAGGACAAGCTGTGACGTTAGTATTCACCATCATTTAAATTTGTTCACCAGATATTCTAATTCACAAATTTGTTTTACCGTCTCTATAATCTATACTTCCAAAAAAACAGTTAAGAAAGTATTATACCAATAAGTTAATATGGAACCGTTGGTATTTTCCCAATAGCTGTGATATTTGTGTCTCTTTTTCCAATGAGCCTTCTTTCTGTAAGTGAAATTAGTCATCAGATAGTGCTTAATGAGAGGGAAAATTGTATACATTTTGAGAAGCATTTGTACACTTTGATGAAGAATGATAGAAAGAGATTACTTTTCTGGCCAAATGGCAGAGTAGAAAGCCTATAATATACTCCTGATTGGGGTATGTTGGATGAGATATATTAAAATTTATTAAAGAAAGTAAAATATATCTTAAAAAGCATTATTATCACATTATCTTGTGCATATTTTGGCAGATTTATTCCTGAGTATTTGATTTTTCTGGTGTTAATTTAAATGATATTGTGCTTTTCATGTCAAATTTAAATTGTCTATTGTTGACAAAGAGAAAAGCAATTGACTTTTAAATATTAACCTTGTATCAGCAACTTTGTTATAATTGTTCCTTATTCCAGGAGTTTTGTTCCTGTTGTTGATTCTCTGGTATTTTATATATAGAAAATGATGTCACCTGAAACCAAAGACACTTGTATATTTTTTTTCCTTTCCAATTTGCCTTTTATTTTATTTCCTTGTCCCATTACATTAGCTAGTGCTTCCAGTGTGATGTTGAATAGGAGTATTAAGAACAAACATCAGAGCTTTTTTCCCTATCTTAGGTACAACTAGTTCCTCACCATTAATATGTTGTAGGCTCTAGGTTTTTTCTAGATGATATTTATCTAGTTGAGGAAATTCCTCTCTATTCCTAATTTGCTTAAAGTTTTAATTGTGAATGGGAGTTGAATGTTGGTAGATTCCTTTTCTGCATCCATTGATATTATCATCTGATTTTTCTTCTTTAGCTTTTTAATGTGATATATTCATTGACTTTCAAATGTTGAATCAGGCTGCATATCAGGGGAAGATCTCAATTTGGCATGGTGTACAATTCTTTTTATAGACTGTTAGATTTGATTTGCTAAATTTTTATTGAGGATTTTTATATTGATGTGTATTAATGGTATTTATCCACAGTTTTTCTTTCTTACAATATCTTTATCTTATTTGGGTATTAAACAGAGGTATTTTGAAGTCTCCAACTATAATAGTGTTTTGTGCATTTTTTCTTGTAATTCTACCAATTTTTTTCTCATGTATTTTGTTGCTTTGTTATTAAGCACATGCATATTAACTATTGTTATGTCTGCTTAGGAAATTCACCTTTATCCATTATATAATGACTCTCTTTACCCTGAATAATTTTTTTTTTGCTATGAAATCTGCTCTCTTAAATAAATATAGCTAATCTAGTTTTCTTCTGATTAATATAGACTATCTTTCCCTATCCCTTTACTTTTAGTCTATTTATGTCCTTATATTTCAGACAGTTTTCTTTTAGGATACAAATAGTGGGTCTTGTTTTTTGGTTTGGTTTGGTTTTGCTTTGTTTTTCTAATCTACTCTATTTTTTATGGGTGTACTTAGTATTCATATTTAAAGTGATTATTGATATTGTTGCATTAACATCTACTACATTTGTAATTTTGCTGTTGGTGTTCTTTTTTATTTGTTTATGTCATCCCCTAGTGCTCTGCCTTCTCTGGTTTTAATTGAGCATTTCATATGTTTTCATTTTCTCTTAGTGTACCAATTATCCTTTATTTTAAAATTATTTTAGTGGTTGCCCTAGATTTGCAATATACATTTTCAACTAATCTGTCTACTTTTCAATAACACTACACTACTCCACAGGTATTGCAGGTACTTTATAACAGCGTTTCTAATTCCATATCCTGTCCCTTATTACATTGCTCTCATTCATTACACTTAACCATATTCTCTGATCACCCAATATATTGTTTATATTATTGATTTTAACAGTTCCTGTTAGATCATTAAAAATAAGGATAATGAAGACTTTAATTTTGTCTTTATTCCTTCTCTAGTGTACTTTCTTTTTGTAAAATAGATCTGAATGTCTGACTGATGTCATTTCCCTTCTTTCTGAAGTAATTCTTTTAATTTTTTTTTCTGTAATGCAAGTCTATTGACAACATGTGTTCTTAGTTTTTCTTTGTCTGAGAAAGTCTTTTTTCTACTTTACTTTTGAATGATAATTTCACTGGATACAGAATTCTAGGTTTGGTGGTTTTATTCATTGAATACTTTAAATGTTTCACACCACTTTCTTCTTTGCTTGCATGGCTTTTGAAGAAAAGTCTGACAGAATTGGTTTTCTTGTTCCTGTACAGATAAGGTGTTTTACCTCCCTCTGGCTTCTTTCAAGGTTTTCTCTTTGTCTTTGGCTTTCTGCAGTTTGAGTGGATATGCCTAGATAGAGATTTTTAAATATTTATTCTGTTTCATGTTCTCTGAGTTTCAAGGCCTATCATTTGGTTTCTGTTATTAATTTTGGCATATTCTCAGCCATTATTACTCCTGTTCCTTTCTCTCTTCTCCTTCTGGTATTCTCATTATATGTTTTTCTCACAGTTCTTGGATATTCTGTTCTGTTTTCATTCTTTTTTTTTCTCTTCGATTTTCAATTTGGAAAGTTTCTATTGACATATCTCCAAGTTCACTGATTCTTTCCTTGGCCACATTCAACCTATTGATGAGCTTGTCAGAAGTATTCTTCATTTATTTTCTACTTGTCTGTCTCTGACATTTCTTTTTGATCCTTTCTTAGAGTTTCTATCTCTCTGGCTATATTACCCATGTGTTTTCTTAATGTTGTTCACTTTTTCCTTCAGAACCCTTAGATGAATTATTTTAAATGTTTGGACTGATAATTCTAAAATTTCTGCCTTATCTGAATCTGGTTTTGATGCTTGCTTTGTGTCATAGAACTGTGTTTTCTTTTACCTTTTAGCATGCTTATAATTTTTTGTTGAAAGCTGGACGTGATATATTGAGTAATAGGAACTAAGGTAACAATCCTTTAATGTAAGGTTTTATGTTTATCTAGATAGCAACTAGGCTGTGTTTGTTGTTTGCTGGAGATGAATTTCTTCTAGCATTCTCCTTTTTATCTCTCCTCCTATCTTTAAGTATCCCTAGAAATTCCTTCTTAAATAGATTTTGTGTCTTTAAACTATTGCTTTGTCAGAGCCCTGTTGGCGTGGTGTAAGGTATTACAGAGAGGAAGCAGTCCATAATCTTATGATTAAACCTTCCTTTTTTAGTGGGTCTGAATGTCTGGGCTGTGACCTTCAGAAAAGCTTATTAGTCTTTTTATTTTCTTCCTTTATGTGAGATAAGAAGACTAGAGGGGGTTGAGCTATTTAATAGCCCTTAACCCAGATCAGATAAGGCTCTGATAAAATAATTTTCTTTGAAGGCAGGCCTTTGTCATAGAGACCAGAGTACTCTGGGCATGTATCAAAATTTTTGCCTTTCTCTATGCCTTGCTGGAAGCAGGAGAGGAATTTTTGCAGATTATCACTGTGAGAACCTGATGGGGCTCCTGGAGGTAAAACTCATGAAGGGTAGAGGCCTCCTTAGGCTGGGGCCCTGGGAGTTTTCATTCTCCTGGCTTTAGGAGCTTTTGCTCTTGATTAGCTTTATTTCTCAGTATCTGCCTCTCTTTCCATTTCTGGGTTGACAGTTTGCCCTGTGAATTTTCTAAGAGAACTAAGAAAGGTTGTTCATTTTTAATTTGTTCAGTTTTACTACTTTTCATGAGGTTGGGAGTGGTA